GAAATTTTTTATCCAGAGGTAAGATTTCTTCAGATGGAGTTTGTCACTGTCTTCTTCTGAGGGAATGTGACTTGTCCAAGGCCACCCAATGGCCATGAAAGGATTCAAACCCTGGTATCCCACAGTCACTTGGGGGACCTTGGGCAAATCGTATCCTCTCAGCCTCAGAGGAACACAATGGCAGACCTCCCTGAATAAATCTTGCCAAGAAAACCCCATGATAGGTTTTTCTTAGGGCCGTCGTAAGTTGGAAATGACTTGAAGGTACACAACAACAGTGGTTATTCTTAATTCCAGTGACATATTTACCTATTCTCTCTTACAAGATTTAGTATGGATATGTATAACATCCTCCTCCTCATCATCATCTTTATTTTCACCCTATCTTTTCTAGAACCCAAACTAGAACCCAAACTCATCTGGGAGAGAGATACCAGGCCCAGCACCATCGGGCCTAGACTAGAAGAAGAGCCCTTACCTTTTAAGGGGTGGGTGGGTTTTGGGATTTTTAGGTTGTTTACATTGTATCAGCATATCTTTATGTAAATTTTAATGTTGTAAGCCACCCCGATTGCTCTGCAGAGGGGCGGGATATAAATTATTATTATTATTATTATTATTATTATTATTATTATTATTATTATTATAGAACCCAAGGTGCCTTACAAATTAAAATACAATACAGTTGAAACATACAACAGATCAACATGAAAATAGAATTAAACAACCAATAGCTTTTATAAACAATTTAAAGCATACATAGAATCATAGAGCTGAAAGGGACCACAAGGACCATCCAGTCCAACCCCTGCCATGCAGGAATTCACCATCAAAGCACCCCCAACAGATTGTCACCCAGCCTCTGTTTAAAAAACTTCTAAAGAAGGAGACTCCATCATGCTCTAAGGGAGTGGGTTACACTGTCAAACAGTTCTTTCTGTCACAAAGTTCTTCCTAATGTTTTGATGAAATCTCTTTTCCTGTAGTTTGAATCCACTGGTCTATGTCCTATTCTCTGGACCTACTCCTTGTCCTCTGTCTAGTTGGGCATTTTTAAAGCAGTGCTGGCACTGGGAAAATGGTGAAACAGCCAATTTTGGCCACCTAAATGGAAACCATAAGAAAAATGGAGGCTAGCGAAAGAAAGAAAAAAGTCTCTGGATGCAATTTGGAAGAAGCTTTCAAGTGGCTTCTAGAAGGTTGAAAATGTTTTAGTTTACTTATGCAAAGCTTCCTGACATGTGTGTTTCCTTTCGCATGTGCATATTCTTAGTTTTGAACAAAACATTTGCTGAAACATGTATTCTTTTTTGTGCTGTAGGAAACTATCCTTGTTCTTTCCATGTTATTTCTGGTCCCAGTTTTTGTTTGTTTGTTTTTGTTAAAGAAGTAATGCTCAGGAATACATCTACTTTGTTAACTGAGGTATATCTGTATTTTTAGTATTCTAACTTACCACAATTCTACCTTGAGTTTGTATAGCACATATTTCAGCCTATGGAGTTACACACGGCAGGAGGCAAAGTGAAACTTCTTTGTGCAATCCAATATAACCCTTGTGTTGAATGGAAATATTGCCCAACTGGAGGCACAACCAAAGGTATAACTGAATGCACATGGTTTTGTAAAATAGCATGTGCTTGTGCATGCACACCCATGTGCATGACTGCATGTTCACATGCATCACCATGCACAATGGCACCACACCTGTAACTCAATTTCCACAATGTTGGACTGAATACAGATGTTCTGCATCAGACAAATGTCTAAGAAACCAATAGGATTCCAGCCCATGTGTTTTTTCATTGCTACCAGTATTTGGAATCAGATTGTGAGCATCCTTGAGTCCAAGTATTGGGAGAAAGGTAGAATATAAACACAAACACAAAAACAAATGTTCAAAAGATTCAAAATTTAAGAAAGAGTTTAGACCTCAAAATGGCCTTTTGAGATTGGGGAGCAAGCCCAGAATTAATAAAATATATTTCTGCAGGGAGAAAGGTAGGATACTAGATCTAGGTAGGAAAAATGAACTGCACAAATACAGGATGAGAAACACTTGGCTTGATAATGGTACATGTGAAAAAGATCTAGGGTCTAAGTCAGTGGTTCTCAACCTTTCTAATGCTGTGACCCCGCAATACAGTTC